GCAATTTGAGCAGAAAGGAGCAAACTAAGTAGAAATAAGCCAGCAATGGCCAAATAACTCCCCCACAAAGAGTTAATGAGAGAGAGAACTAACAGACACGACTGTCCTCTACCGGACCGAGTCTAAAAACTGGATACAGGAAGAGGCGGGGCTTCTTTTGTTGGTGGACTCGGTCCTAGAGCTACTGGCTTGGTTGTAACCCTTTAGTGACCGGCGTTTCCTCCGTGACTGAGAATTGAACTTACAGTAATTGCAGAGAGCTTGATGTTAATAACAGTGCTTTAGTCTTCTGCGCTACCAGGGCTCCTATTCATTTTGGTTAGAATGTGACTAAAGAGTTGATTAGCCACTTTTCCTTTAAGGGTTATAAAAGCTATAAAACCAAGGAAACGAAGGGAGGAGTTAAGAAGAAAGATAAATAAAGTTGAATATAGAAAAAAGAAAGGGGAAAAAGAAAAGGAAATTACAGTATATGTCAAACAAAAGAAAAAAACACATCTCTGATAACCCCTTTCAGCAGGATCAATATTCATCCTGTTATTAGACAGAAGGAATTTTTCTGATGTACCTCTTTAATAGTAACAGTGAAATTGTTAAAAATATTTTTGTCGCAGTCAGTTTTTCGTCTCAACAGTCAGGAGACAGAATACAACATGCACCACATCTCAGACAGCTAAGGTGCCAAGGAAGAGAAACAAGAGAGAGGCAACAGTGTCATAATAATATGTAAACTTCTAGCTTATTTATGTTGAGGTGCTTGCAGCAGTATTTTAAAGGATATTTATCTCTACCACAAATAAACTAGGAATAAATTTTCTCTCCAAATCAAACCTGGCATAAATAATTACTTCTATGGCTATATGGTCCTGTGCAGGTTACTTTGGGGCAGACGTGCAGTAGATTATGTTTAAGAAAATTGGAATTGGAGATCAATAATTCAATCGTTTGTTGAGCCCATCTGATGAACAGAAAAGTAGCATGTAATCATTTCTTCCAGTCTTCCCCAATCCTTAAAACTTCCTACCTATTCTTTGACAAGCTCTCCTGCTGCTGTTGAGTTGCTAAAAAGGGATGCATCAGTCAATTTCTGGTCTATTTTGTTTCTGGTTTTACAGGATCCCAGATGTTATTATCCCAAAGCTCTACAATGTTAAGCCTCCTCTTCTCCTTCCTCCAGCTATATCCTTCTCCCCACAAGTCACAGGAGACAAAGATGAACAACTGTCTATAAAAAAAAAATGTTCCCTGGTGAAAACTGCCAAGGCAGAAATATGTTACAGCAATTGAGTTCTAATGCCATTAGCACCTTGTCATGATAACTGAAGTTGATTGCTCAAATTACTCCCAAAAGGAGTATTTGATGTGTTAATGTGAATGATTTGATTCTTTTGGGTTTCAAATGCATATGCGGTTATTTATTTATTTATTTATTTATTTATTTATTTATTTATTTATTATTTATTTATTTATTTATTTATTTATTTATTTATTTATTTATTTATTAAATTTATATACCGCCCTACTCCCAAAGGAGCGGTGAACAGCCAAAATATAAAATACACATAGTACAAACGTTAAAAAATCATTTAAAAATACATTAGATACTTTGGCCCAAAACAAATTTAAAACACCCCAATTTATAAAACAAATTTAAAAGCAATTTAAAAGGGAGGTTAGGCCAGACCAGCCTGCTGGAATAAGAATGTTTTGAGGGCACGGCGGAAAGTGCGCAAATCTGGGATCCTCCGAATCTCCGGGGGGAGCTCATTCCAGATAGCAGGTGCCCCCACAGAGAAAGCTCTCCCCCTGGGGGCCGCCAGTCGACATTGTTTGACCGACGGCACCCTGAGAAGACCCTCTCTATGGGAGCGTACTGGTCGGTGAGAGGCTACTGGTGGCAGAAGGCGGTCTCATAGGTACCCCGGTCCTAAGCCATGGAGCACTCTAAAGGTGGTAACCAAAACCTTGAAGCGCACCCGGAAGACCACCGGGAGCAGTGCAGTTCGCGCAGGAGGGGAGTCACATGGGAGTGCCACGTCGCTCCAGTAACCACCCGTGCGGCCGCATTCTGGGCCAGCTGGAGCCTCCGGGTGCTCCTCAAGGGGAGCCCCATGTAGAGAGCATTGCAGTAGTCCAGGCGGGAAGTGACGAGGGCATGAGTGACCGTACGTAACGAGTCCTGATCCAGAAAGGGACGCAACTGGCGGATCAGGCGAACCTGATAAAAAGTCCTCCCGGCCACAGCCGTCAAATGCTCTTCTAAAGGCAGCCGTGAGTCCAGGAGGACACCCAAGTTGCGAGCCCTCTCCGTGGGGGCCAACGACTCGCCCCCAATAGTCAGTGATGGCACCAACTGACTATATCGGGATGTCGGAAACCACAGCCACTCGGTCTTGGATGGGTTGAGCCTGAGTCTGTTTCTCCCCATCCAGATCCGTACAGCCTCCAGGCACCAGGACATTACTTCAAGGGCATCGTTGGAGTGATCCGGAGTGGATGGGGCAGCAATTGTTTGCAGCAATTAATTGCTCAGGGTAGTTCAATTTAATGTAGTTCTATGTACAGGTAGTCCTTGACTTACAATAATTCATTTAGTGGCCATTCGAAGTTACAATGGCACTGGCCATTTTTCACACTTATGACCATTGCAGCATCCCCATGGTCACATGTTTTACACTCAGATGCTTGACCACTGGTTCATATTTATGATGGTTGCAGTGTCCTGGGGTCACATGCCCTTTTGTGACCATCTGACAAGCAAAGCCAAAGGGGAAGCCAGATTCACTTAACAACTGTGTTACTAATTTAACAACTGCAGTGATTGACTTAACTAATATAGCAAGAAAAGTCATAAAATGGGGCAAAACTCACTTAACAAATTTCTCACTTAGCAACATAAATTCTGGGGTCAATTGTGGTTGTAAGTTGAGGCATATAAATCGAACCAATAAATAAGTCGAGGAATACCGGTATTTCCCTTTCGTTCTATCCTCTGAAATATTAATTTCAACATTCTACAAGTCACTCGGGGGAAAAAACTGAGTTGTTCTACATTCCTGTGCAGGATCTAATGAGCATTGCAACCTATTGTGTTTGAGGAGTCCACCGTAAACCTTAAGAAAAACGATGAATTCTATGTGAATTGAACAACATTACTTTAATATAGTCAATATCTATATTTATTATATTATATTATATTATATTATATTATATTATATTTATTATATTATTATATTATATTATATTATATTATATTATATTATTATATTATATTATATTATATTATATTATATTATATTATATTATATTATATTATATTATTAATTATTTCTTAATAGAGGTTCTAATGTTAATTATTGTGAGCTTGTTTTGAGATCTCAGGAAAAAGAGATTGTCTTAGAACCCAACATTTATGCTGTGCAATCCTTTTGAAAGCGTGTTTCACTCCAGTGATGCTTTGAGCAAAGCACACTGCAAAGCAATGTGTCCCCTGCTTCTAAAAAGTGAAGTGAAGCTGCCATGGTGCTTAGATTCACATTGCTTCTGTGGGTTGAATGTGCCAGAAGAGAGTTCGAAACAACACAGTGTTAAGCAATGAAGCACATTGCATAATTGCTGCACCTTATGAAGAAGAAACATGGCCACTTCGCACAGGCCTATTATTTCTAGCCTGATACTACACTTGCTTCAAAAATTAAACTGCCCACATGTGGGAACCACATCACAGCCAGTAAACCAAATAAAAAGTGCTAGATCAATTTGGATGCAGGTTAGTTGGATAGGCAGAAGTAAAATAATTTGGTTGCTGAGCAGCATCTGAGGGGGAAGACCATCTTTGCCTTTTGTGCCACGGTGCGGTGGCACAGTGGTTAGACTGTAGTACTGCAGGCTACTTCTGCCGGCTGCCTGCAATTTGGCAGATCGAATCTCACCAGGCTCAAGGTTGACTCAGTCTTCCTTCCGGCATGGGTAAAATGAGGACCCAGATTGTTGGGAGGCTTATTTCACTAAGTGTTTCTTAAGTTCTCAACCAGCCTCTGATTTCCCACCAGGATTTTTTAAAGATATTTTGATTCACTCCATAAGCTGTCATGTATTTAGTTAGAGTTATGAAATGAGCCATTGGCAGGAATGGTGAAAAAATAAAATTGTATCAAATGCTCACTACATCAGCAGCAAAATTCACGAGGCCCTCCTGCTCATCTTCTACAAGCTGAACTGGGTTTAGCTTGTAGGAGATGAGTCTCAGTTAAAACTTGCATTGATCAGCTTTAACAATTTATGAATTTATTTCTTGAAATGAGTCTAAATTCTGACTGGACAATGCTTGGATTTGTTCATACAACAAAGTAGTTGGAACTTGCATCGGATTATATAATCCTTACACAAATCTAGAGCCAGATCTCATTTTGATTTTTTTTTAAGGCTCAATATTATACTGTAGCCTTCCTCAAGCTGGATGTCTGTAGAGATTCTCAGTCATCCAGGTCATGGCTGTCCCAAAGATGCTTTTTTCAAGAGGCAACTGGACTTTCCAGTTTTTCTTTGAAGACGTTTCGCTTCTTGGATGAGAAGAGAAATGTCTTCAAAGAAAAACTTGAAAGTCCAATTGCTTCTTGAAAAAAGCACCTTTAGGACTTCCTCAAACTGGTCTTCTCTTGATGTCTTGGATAAAACAGTTAGAAAATATCACCATGTTGGCCCAAATAAGGATCAATAAGTTAACTAGAATGAAAACTAGGGCATCTTTGTGCTCCCTTGTTTTGTTTTGTTTTTCTTTTGCAAGCGCTGTTTCTCTCAACCCATCCTTATCATTACAATTTCAGGGCCCTTTGTTGATGTGGGGTTGTTATCTTTCTTTGAAAGTCCTAACAGAAGGCTTCCATGTGGAATAAATCAAAACCAGAGCCAATGTGTGTGTGGGGGGGGGGGGGGGGTGTTACCTAGCATACTTGAAATCATTAATGTAAAAAAATTCAAATGTTTCTCCCTCCCTGTAGGTGTCATTGCAGCTGTGGTCTTAGTCTTGATTTGCCTCTTGGTGTTGATGCTGAGATACATGTACCGGCACAAGGGCACCTACCATACCAATGAAGCAAAGGGAACTGAATTTGCCGAAAGCGCAGATGCTGCTCTGAAAAATGACCCTACCCTTCAAGATGCCATGGATGAGAACCGAAAAGAATATTTCATCTGAAAGCAAAAGCAGCACCCTTGAGACACCCCTTTGTTTTTCTCTCCTTCGCAAGGGGCAGTGCATTAAAAAAAGTAAAGAAAAAGCCAGCAGGATATGGAGATTACACAAAAGAGAACAAGGCGACTAATTGAAATATTGCTGTTTAACAACAGCAAGGACTGGATGCCAGATCTATAGCTGTTTATTTGATTAACCACACCACTGGGTTCAATATCAGATGAACGGAAAGAAAAGTCTCGGGATGAACGATTTAACTGATAGCAGATAAAAGCATCAAATGTCAAATCCTGACATTTGGCAAAAAAAATATCTGGGTTGATGGAAAGCTCCTTCATGGATACACTGATTCATCCGTATTGATATAATACCTTGAAGTGAATTTATAGCAGCAAAAAAAAAAAAAAATCTCCCATAAAAAAGGAAGCTGGCTCAAGAATGTTGGTCATCATTCATGTATCTAGGTTTTTCTTAACATGCATCAGCTTATCAATGTGAATATGCATATTTTCTTGATCGTTCTTTTTTTTTTTTTAAGAATACCCTGAAGTTGTTTCTGCTTTCTTATGTTTTTTAGAACAATGACCTAGCAACCCAATTCTCACAGGGGGGGGAAAAAACTGCAGGAAAAGACAGAGAAAAGTTTTTAATATGAAAGAATGCCATTTCTGGATATTTCTTGCAGTGGGCATATATAAGAGATGAGTTTATTGACTTCTCAGCTTTTAATGCCATATCAATTATTTTGAACTTGTACTTTTGTTTTAAATAGTAGAGCTCCCTACCTCCATTGGGTACTACTTGCTTAATTTTGAGAGTGATCTCAGATTTATAGTAGCAGTTTAAATTGATTGAGGTAGTTCTACCTCAGCTGAGGGTGAGAATTGCAGAAGCAGATGCAGAAGCAATCATTTAAGTTCACATAGGGGAGTCTTTTCTTCTATGTTGGCTGAAAATGGAATGAGATGCAGGAAAAAAAGTGCTTGGTTAGTCTTGGCACCAGCAAACCCAAACTATATCTCTCTTTCTCTCCCCCTTGTTCCAGCAAACTATGTCCTATTTCTGTGACTAATATAATGTACTAGTCATGTTAGCTGTTTGACATTTTCCCCCGATTACATTTTGGCTGGAGCTGCAGTTATAATACTAGAGGGGATTAGCAATGTAATTTTTGTAGGAACAATAGTACAATGGCAGTAATATTAGTACAGTGTTTTACTTCACTGCTCAAATTATAAGAAAGTCGGAGAGCTTTTATCCTTGAATTTACTGATTGCCTCCTTACTGTTGTTCTTCAAGAGTACAGGAGAATCATATATTAGCAAAACAATGAAAGAACTTTGGAATTGGGACCCCCTCTGGAGGGGATTGTGCATTTCATTAAATTTCTTTCTATATTTTGCCTCTGCTAACCCATCAAGTACAGTCAGGACTTGACTGCTGTAGAAATTACTTTGGCAGGCTAATCCCCTCCCCGCAACAAACCCCAACAAAAAGGTCTAATTTTCACATCATGGACCAGCCTAATCTCATTTTTAAAATCCTGTACTAAATTATTATCTTCAGAAATATTTAGGTGCAGGTGGACAAATATGCTGTGTGACCAGGAAACTGTCTCACAAGCAAATTAGATACTTCTCTTCAAATTCATTTGAATTCAGTGAGTCACGTGGTAACAGATTTCGAATAGCATTGAAGTGTGGGTGGAGTTTAGGTGTACATACGGAACCCTTGTGAGCTACAGTATTGCTTTGACATAGAGAAGTGAGAGAAAAAAAGGACACGGTGGCTCAGTGCTAAGACGCTGAGCTTGTCAATCGAAAGGTCGGCAGTTCAGCAGTTTGAATCCCTAGTGCCATGTAACAGGGTGAGCTCCCATTACTTGTCCCAGCTTCTGCCAACCTAGCAGTTCGAAAGCACTTAAAAAATGCAAGTAGAAAAATAGGGACCACCTTTGGTGGGAAGGTAACAGCGTTCCGTGCGCCTTTGGCGTTTAGTCATGCCGGCCACATGACCATGGAGACGTCTTCAGACAACGCTGGCTCTTCGGCTTTGAAACGGAGATGAGCACCACCCCCTAGAGTCAGGAACGACTAGAACATATGTCTTTACCTTTACCTTTTTATAGTGAGAAAACCATCCAACAAGCTCAATTCCTGGTAATGTCAAGGTCATATCCATGTAACTTTCCTGGCAAACAACTACTCTTCCTCCTTCTGAAGTCTATTTTAATCTTCCTGACCTAATCCCATGTTGGGATTTCATATTTTCTCCCATCTTTTTCTAGGCTTATATATAACCGTAGGAAAATCAGTTTCTGAATGTGTATGATTTTTCAGTATCCAACATTATTATTATTATTATTTTAATCATAGCCTCATCATTTATAACACATTGCTGTTTTGTTGACAACTGTAACCCAGGGTCTGCATCTTTCTGTTGATTGGAATCATATTTAATTCCTGGGATTGGTGGGAGTAATTAAGTACCACAGTGGATATAAACTGAGATGGAAAACAGTCAAAATGATGTTATTCACTTCAGGAAGCTGTCATTTTCCAGATTTATTGTTCTACTTCCCTCCTGATTTTGGTTGGTTTCTTTGTTTTTTGTAGCAGCTACTCCTAAAAGAAAAATTAAGCTTATTCTAAGCTTATACAATGTTTTTATTGTGTTTTCTGCCTTAATATAATGAGAAGCTATGTTGGCAATTTTAATAATTGTGCCATCAAATTATAACAGGGCAGTTCAAGGAATTTCAAGTCTGCCAAAATGTGCCTTAGGTAGCCTACCTCTGCTTTAACCAAAGAAAAATTTCAAATGGCTTCACTCTCCTGTCTCTCTCTTTGGGAATATTAAAATATAGGTAAATAATTTAATTTCCATTGCTTTCTTTCAGAAATGTTTTCAAAAACTTTTGTGCCAGTGTTTGTTTCCATTCATGGTGAACAATAGTTTGGGAGAGGAATTTTTCTCACTCCTTATTTTCAGGACTAAACCGCAAAAGACTAACCTCTAAGGACACATAAGAAATATCAAAACACAGAATTGAAATATGCCCATATAATAATCATATTTACTTATTAGCCAACAGGAAAATCACAAGAACATTTTTTTTTCTTTTTTGGCATTTGATAGAATATGGTTAAAACTCCACGCAATTGGTTCAAGAACTTCACTTGCGCATCACTTTCTTCATCACTTGTTTTATTTTTAAAATAGTTACGTGCACTGTTTTAAGCATCCTCCTCAATGGGTTGAGCCAATTCTGGTTGGATCCTGCAGGTATCTACATACCATCACATGAAGGATTTTATAGGTCGAAATCATAGCAATAGCACTTAGACTTATATATCGCTTCACAGTGCTTTACAGCCTTCTCTAAGCTGTTTACAGAGTCAGCATATTGCCCTCAACAATCTCGGTCCTCATTTTACCCACCTCGGAAGGATGGAAGGCAGAGTCAACCTAGAGCCTGGTGAGATTTGATCTGCCAAATTGCAGGCAGCCAGGAGTCAGCAGAAGTAGCCTGCAGTAATGCACTCTAACCACTGCACCACCGCAGCTCTCCCTTGCAAACCAACTGAAAGCACTTGTAGGAACTATAGCCTAAGTGCAACATACTCTTAGCATTAAATGCTGTAGCACAGAAGGTACAATGTTTTGGACTAATCTTTAAAGATAACCTTATACAGGTAGTCTTAACAGTTCATTTAGTGACCATTGAAAGTTACAACAGCATTGACAAAAATTACCTTTATGGCCGCTTTTCACAGTTACCACCTTTGCAGCATCCCCATGATCATGTGATCAAAATTCAGATGCTTGGCAACTGGTTCATATTTATGACTTGCTGTGTCCCAAGTGATCATGTGATCACCTTTTGCGACCTGACAAGCAAAATCAATGAAGCTAGATTCACTTAACAACTGGGTTACTAACTTATCAACTACAGTGATTCACTTAATAATTGAGGCATGAAAGATCATAAAACAGGGCAAAATTCACTTAACAGTCTCCGTTAACAACAAATCTTGGGCTCAATTGTGCTTGTAAGTCTAGGACTACCTGCATAGTAGTCCAGCAGGGTGGTAATAAGGGCATGGGACAAAGTCTTGCACCAGATAAGGTCACAAATGTGAAATTTAACAGATTTGGAAGGGACCTTGGAGGTCTTCTAGTCCAACCCCCCCTAGTCTGGCCTTTGGTGCTTTGGAAAATAGCTTGACCCTCTTCTCTCTGTGGCAGCCCCTCAAATATTGGAACACTGCTATCATATCTCCCTGGTCCTCTTCACTAGACTAGCCATGCCGAGTACTTGCAACTGTTCATTGTACGTTCTAGCCTCCTACTCAAGCAGAGCTATAAGTTCAGAAGGACCCTCAAATTGTGAGCCTATTTCTGGATGGATGCCTACCCATCCAGAAATAATACTGATTACAAAAAAGAGTTCCAAAGTGCAAGCAAAATCAAGGTCTTGCTTCAGTTCAGCATCAGGATAGGAATTTGAAGGATCGCCCATACAATCAGCAGGAGCTTTGTTAGACTGGGTAATGTGGAGTATATGATACCACTCCAAATTTTGGGATGACTTCTCCTAGCAGAGTTGTATAGAATTGCTGGGAGTTGGACAGCAAATACAGTGTTGTTGCTATTTGGAGGAATAGAAGACAAAGGGCTGATCGCTGTAGTATTCAACAAGATAGATGCCACCAAGCTAACTTATCTTCCCACACCAATTGAAACTGTCTACTGAGGAAAGTAGTACAATTGCTTAACTCATTGTAAGCCGCCCTGAGTCTCCGGAGAAGGGCGGCATATAAATCAAATTAAAAGAGAGAGAGAGAGAGAGAGAGAGAGAGAACAGTTCCTCCAGTTTCCCTCCCTGTAGGCAATCCAGGAAGATAGCATTGAGCACCACAGAAAACAGCATGAGAAGCACACTACCTATCTAGCTCCTAATAAAGGTAATCGATTACAGCAGCCAATGCCATCTCAGTCCCACACTAAGGTTGAACTCTGCCTGAATGTGTCCAAGGCAATCCACAAACTCTAGAGTGCTCTTTTGCAACCACTTTCCTACAAGACAGTCCTTTCCGATGCTGATTCTGGGACATACTCCTACGTTTTAACTTGGAGAACAGTGTAAACATGTCATAAACCATCTACACCATTGTGAAAAGGCAAAGGATGAGACTGCATCTTGAAGTGCATCTATGCAAGATTTTTTTTTTAAAAAAAAAAAACCAATCTTGCAATGATTCACAGCTGCGTACTTAGCAAAGATGCACATTAAAAATGCTTTTGAAAAAATCAACCTATTTGAGTTCCTTATAAATCCCTTTCCACAAGCTGAGGCCAAAGGGGGGAGGGGAAACATGTAAAATACATGATACAGTTTTAAAAGCTTTTTTAATCATTGGAGTAGAAAAACTAGCTCTTCGTTACAACGCAGCTGCAAAATCTGAAAAAGCATAATATAATAGGAGGAAAGGGTATTAGGTTCACTGCCTTGAATTGTTTATTAAAAAATTGAATAAAGTTGGGATATAAATAGAATAGGAGAAGATGGAATATAGAAGGTGAAATGGTGCCTGGAGAATAACTGAGGAGTCTATCGAGTGGGTATGAAGTCCCATTTCCAAATAAAATGGTATTTATAAAACGCATGCCCATTGATAAAATGCATACCTATTCTTGAAGAAGTTAAGAGACAGTTTGAGTAACTTATTCTTTACCTTGAAACTGGGGCAGGACTGGACAACCTTCAGTTGGACAGCTGGTTAATATGGATTATCCTTTTTCAGTCCTTCAGATATCTCCTATAAAGCAAGAGACATGACCAGCCTAAAACAGGTTAGCCGTGGTTTCTCTACCCATTAATCTGGTTCCATCTGAAAGCCAAAGGTTCTATTTTTCTTCATAGAATTCGTGCCCTGCTTGGTTAAAAAGTATGTCATTTGAAATATGATTGGATTGAGCTCTACAGTGAATCCTTGGCTTGAAGTCATTTGAGCCATGTGGGTCATATATTTTTGAGGTTCCGTTTATCTTCATTTCCTCTTCCCGTTATAGTGAACTGACATGTTTGAGGGCTGTGAGACTCAACAGAAGATACCTAATTGGTTTTTAAGAAGGTAAGAAGTCCCCTGGTGGTTAAGCTCTTCCATTATTCTGCAGCTGCTCGATGAAGGAGGAAGATATACAACCCAGTGCCAAGGGCATTTCTGGTCCAGATGTTTCCAACCTGAGGGAATATTAGAATTGAATATTTAGGTATAAGTTCAGGACTAATGTGTATACAGAAAGCAATCTGGCTGGATTTTTGTTCCAATGTTTGTTTTCCCAATGTTCACTTTCAGTGAACTAAAGAGGGGGGGGGATCTGGTATCAGAGGCTCAAGATTCCTCTGAAAATGAATGTCAGAAAAAAAAATTAGACCTATTGGGATTTTAGTTCAATATGGCCAAGCATTTTTAGACCTTCAGCTAATTGGAGATCATTGTTAACTGAATCATGGAAGTCTGTGATTATTTCTTATGATTCTTTTTATGTTGCTTTCTTTTAATCCAAAGTAACCAAATAGGCTGTGGAACTGAAGTTTGTTCTACGATAATTAGGGGTAAAATAGAAGCTAATATTGTGAATACCAGGCAATGATCAAATTCCTGTAGATTTTTCTAAACCAGAAATTCCTGCAAATAGAAAACAAAGGGAAAAAACTGGGCAGTACTACTCTCTGATGCACTCACTTTTTTACTTGCAGGGAAATATTTGAACAAGGAAAATATTTAAATATGGTATCTACCACCTAGAGAATGAAGTAATCTTACCTATCTTGTCACCTTGTGATCCTGTCACTCAGAATAAAACAATGCAATCTCTGAGGAAAGAAGCCTGACATTTCCCCTTTTGGTTAAAACGTTTTTTGCTTTTTTTTACTTCAAAAGACCTCTGTCAAAGAAAACAAAGATTTTAAAGTTAATAGTAACTCTAAAGTTGCTTTAAAGTTCCCTTGTAAATATTTTTCTTCCATATAACCAAGGATTGTAATTGACTATTGTATAAATGGCTAACACGGACATTTGAAAATACAACAGGGTGCTGAATATTTATATCAAGCAGCTCTGAAAAATGTCTCATATTTGCAGAAAACTAGAATTAAGGGCTAAATGCGGCCTAAAATGAACAGTCTGCTATCCACCTACCCAGCAATCTCTTTTCCCACTGCTGAGATGAAGTGCTAACCTGTTGTAAAAATCATTGCCATCGTGAGCTTTATTTATTTACTCTATTTGTGCATGGTCAAATCAATAAAGAATCGTAACATTTTACAGCAATCCAGTAAAAACGTGCAACCAGTTAAAACATTTGCAGTAAGCATTGCTAAAATCAAAATTGTAACCAGTAGAAAATGATGATGTTTGTCCATCGTGTTCAAAGAGGAGCTTGACATCTAACATGTTGTGGACTGTCCACGATGTGTCCGCGGGTGGCTGGTAAGGTCTATACAGGCACACATGTCGGGCAGATGTGGGCACCGTTGTTGCAGCATTTGCAACTCTGGCTTTGCAGAGTGGTCGCTTCTCTTGTGCTATGGTTGTTCTTCTGTCCTCAGATGTCTGGCAGACTTGGTGGATCAGCGTGCGCCATGTCAATCGATCTTGTGCCAGGGTTTCCCAGGAGGTGATGTCGATATTTTGTCTGAAGTGGTGTAGGGTTTCCTGCCTGGGCAGGGGGTTGTACTAGAAGCTCTCCAAGGTGCCTTCCAACTCTGTTATTCTGTTTCTATTTCTAAACTGATATCCAGGATACATGTGTTTGTATCGCTTCCTTTGTCCCCCATGTGATCTCTTTCCTTGAGACAGCTCATC